ATATTATAATATATATTAATATATATAATATATATATATATATATAATAATATATATATATATATATATATATATACATATATATATATATATGATATATATATTATATATATATATATTGTATATATGATATGTACATGTATATATATATATATATATATATATATATATATATATATAATATATATATATATATATATATATATATATACATATATGTGTGTGTGTGTACATATACAGGGCTGGCGGCAGGCGCCAGCGGCCCGGGGCAAAGAACAGGACCGGGCTCCCAGGGACACATCCTTTTTGGGTGGGAAACACCTTTTTCAAATAGGAAACTCCCATTTTCCCTTTAAACTTTTATGTTCAAATAAACTGTTACTCGAACTTACAATCAAGAACTTGTAATCAAGAATATATTACTATCAGAAGAATGAGGCCATCTTTTGAACCACCCTTATTTTGAATCAACTGCTGTAACGTTCTTTTCGTATAAATGCACCCTATAAATTTGCTGTTAGTTGTTCTTGGTCTCAAATAAGCGAGTACTGTAATTTTTTACGGGCCCCGAAAACGGCGGGGTCGTTGCCCGGCTACCCTGCATGTATATATATGAGCCTCGTGGTTAGAGCACCGGACTCATCGACACTCCAGATTCGAGGGTTCGAATCCCCCGACTGGCGCGTTGTTTGGCTTGATTGCCCTTTGAAAAATCCACCTGGGGGGCAAGCCAGCCACTCACACACGCACACATGTATATATATATATATGAATATGTATATCACTGCAGTGGCCAGTGCCCCGGGGACCCATAAACCAAACCGCCCCCTCCCCTTCCCCCTGGAATTCTCCCAATCAACTCAAATCAAAAACTAACTCACATCCACTCCCAAACAATAGCCCTATGGCAAAAAACTACGAAAAGTCAGATCCAAGAACTGAAGCCAGGAACAGTGCAGATACATGTTTATGCCAATTAGCGGGTTTAGTGGATTCTAGAAAAAAGGGTTCAAGACTAGGTAGGAACATGAAACTTCGGGGTCTGAACCTAGTCGGGCCCATGTTCAAGAGTAGCGTTTCCTTGGGATACAAGGGGGGTCCCACCCGACCGTTATTGGGACTTAAATACATACATACATACATGCATACATATAGGGGTACGACAAATTTAGAAACAATCTCGAGAATGGAAAAAGAGAGATGGTTGACCACTCGTTCAAAAGCTTTGATAAAAGTGCGTGTTTTTGGGTAGGGGACTTCTGAGCATCTTGGCAACATGCCAAAATTTAATTTTTTATGTTTTAAATGCTTAAAATACATAATTTACAAATGGCTAGGAAGATGATACTCTGGGACCAGGAAGGTCTTGGCCCTTGCACCCTTAACCCAACTTTCATGGGCGTAACTTCTGTAACGAGTGTTGCAGAAAAGTTTAACGAAAATCTGTGTTCATGCCGCTATACAACTACTAGGTACATGCTGTTATAATTCCACGTGCATGTATATGTGACATTACGTGTAATTAACATTCATATGATTATATATATATATATATATATATATATATATATATATATATATATTATACACCACCCTCTGTTAATGATTTTGAATTTCGCGGGTTTTGGTGTGGAGGGTGGAGCCTCGTCCCGCAGAGAGAGATCGCCCGGGACTCTCGTCTGAGGAAGACGTGCTCGCGACCCCTCCTCTCGTTTCCCCGCCTGAGACTGTGATTATCGCCCTGTGTTTGACGTGCCGTATTTCCTGAGGATTAATAAATCCCTTGGTTAAGTGAACAGTGTTTATTTCGACCTGACAGCTCCTAAGACAAGGGGACTAGGAGTGCTCGCCTCCACGTGCACACGCGGACCCTTAACGGCTGCTGAGGTTAGCGTGCTATCCTGTGGTCGTTTGAGCTTAACAATATATATATATATACGATTACAGAAGGACAAAATTAACAAAAACAATGATATTGTTTGGTTTGCCCGGGGACCCATCGTGTGTAAAGGTTATGTGGTCCACAGGGCATGCAATGGTTTAGTTCAGGAAAATTTTAACTCATTCAATAATGAATAAGGTCGACACTGAGTTAGGCGAATGAATCTGGGACAATCCGAGACAATGAGTTTCAGAAAAAGCCTCGTCCTGTTAATTAGGACCGAGTCCTGGAGTTGGAATTGTGGGAAAACATCCTGCAACTCGACCACCAAGCCATACCATTCTTCCATCAACACTACCTGATAACTTTTAATTTTTTTTTGTTTTTGTTTGGAAAGACAGACAAAGTATAGATCTGCCTTTTTCGATCGGCCGCTTTCTCTCTCTGTCTCTCTTCCTCTCTTTCTTTCTCTTTTCCCTTTCTCCCTACAGTCAATGCTTTGCCATGGGCACACTCCCCTGCAATGCAGCCAGGGTGTACCACTTACACAGGAGTTTCCTAATTTCTTGGTCCATTTAAATTTTCGTCGAATACCTCTCAGTCCCATCGATTGCGGTCATTTCAGATCAGCCTAAAATTATGTGATTGGCTGGAAACAGAAAAACATGAGAGAAATAATGGGAGAGAAAGCACACAATTTGCCACCTTGTCTCATAAATCATAATGTATCCCTTTCTCTTTGTATGCATTCTTTCTAATTATCTCTCTTTCAGCCCACTGTTACATCTCACCCAACTTACTACTTCTCACTATGTTGACAAGGAGCCATGCAGACAAAACCATGCAGGGCCCGGATTCACTAACGCACTTACGATGGTAAAATCACTGGTAACTATAGTTACCATGGTAAACAGACAGCGGTGGTATTCACTAACAAGTTGCCATTGGAGCTACCATGGTAAATTTTACCAGTGGCCAGAGCACTGGTAACTTTTGGGAAGACGATGTCATCGTGTTATCTCGTCAAAAAATCAATATCTAAGCAAAATTTGGCGTTTGTTTTTACACCTGATATAACTAACATGATGGCAAACAGATATCACAACGCGGACATAGTGAAGAAATGCAAATTTCACATGAAACTAGCAAGAATAAGGTCCACACAAATTCTCGTGAACTTATAGGCCTACATTATACTAGAAAGTATGGAACCGATAAATAAGTGAACTCTCTTAGAGTTCTCCTCTGACTTAATTATTACAAAGAATAAGCCTGAGATATTTCCTTTGACAACAAATGGCGATGAATAAAAAATTTGTTTGATCCGGTTCTTTGTTTAACAATGATGGAGAATATATAAATAAAAATCGGTTTGGACGGCGGTCTCTTTGGTTTGAGTTAACAATAATATATTAATATAACAGTGTTTGTATTGGTTCCCATCTATATAGTAAATATATATCTAACATGATGGATATAATCAAATAAATATATTCCTTTTTCTACATGTGCTTAAAGTCTTTTATCTCTGACGATTGTTTAAACAATCTCGCTGTGTCTAGTTTTGTTTACATGTTACGTGATTGTCCGAAGGAACCTAAAAGATTATGTATAGCGCTCGCTGATTGGCTGAATTTCTTTACCAGAGCCCTCTGTTGGCTACCATTCGAATGAGTCGATTTACGATTGTAACTCAGCATATCCGAATTACCATTTCTTCGTGAATCCCACTTTGCCATGACTGGTAAACGCAATGGTAAAGGACCGCTGGTAATTGCGTTACGATCGTATGTTAGTGAATCCGGCCCCAGGTTAACAAGGGGTCTGTGCATTTACCAGTCTACTGAGAGAGAGAGTGAGAGAGAGAGAGAGAGAGAGAGAAAGAGAGTGAGAGAGAGACCTCGGCCAGCAAGCGAGGAAGAGAAAGAGAGACGAAGACCTCATGATGATTTCACTGGATCCAATACTCTCATGGTCATAGGGCTAAGACCGCAGATGAGCTGAAAAGGGGTTTGCTGCAGGAGAAGGGAGTGAAAAATAATTTTTTTTTTTTTTTTTTCTAATTTCCTGAACTGAACCATTGCACGCCCTGTGGACCACATTACCCCTACACACATGATGGGTCCCCGGGCAAACCAAACAAAATCATTGCTTTTGGTAAAAAATATATTCATATATATTCATTATCATCACATTACAGATTGTTTGTCTCGGTGATCAGCCGTGGCATTTTCATAGTGGAGTACTTGTTCCAAGCCTAAAGACGATGCGGTTGGGGGCCCAGTTAACTTCTACCCGGACTCTGAGCACTACTTGCTGATGCCAGTACTCGCTCAGGCATGAGTGCAGTGATGCTCGGACCGAGCGCGAGCCTGGGACCTTGCAATTGCAAAGCCAACGCTCTACCTCTTTTTGCAACGGCCGCTGCGGGGATTCGGTACACTGGGATCACGGTGTGTGTATATCATATATATATATGTGTGTATATATATTGTGCGATATATATACACACACACACACATGCGGGGATTCGGTACACTGGGATCACGGTATGTGTATATTATATATATATATGTATATATATATATATATAATAAATAATATATATATATATATATATATATATATATATATATATATATTGTGTGTGTGTGTACTGCACATACGCACACACACTGTATATGTATAAGTATATATACTCATAAAAGATTTTCATGTAAGACTGATCAGGTAACTGATAAAGTCAGACATAAGATGTTTATGTACACATAAAGTTACAAATATAAATATGCATATATACACACATGTAACTTCATAGATATATAGACAAGGCCGATGTGAAAATATATGTATAAACATTTATATAAACTTATAAAAACTTTTAATTTCCAAATTTCATTAATCAGATAACGGCTAATGTCACACACGGAATCAGCATTCCATTAAAAAGATAAAATGTCCGATTGGCAAGCCTGTCACAAGACAGATCTCTGACCAGTGATAAGATAAGATTACGCAGCGCTCTGGGCACAGATACATGGTCGAAAATCGGCAGAAAACCAGGCACAAAACACCCTTACGCACCAGGCTAGCTTTACCGCCCTCAGTCGATAAAAGA